CCCCACTTCCAATCCCCATCCACCCCCTCATGGCACGTGTGACAGTTACAAAAGAAACTTCGGCGACGCCGGTGCGCACCCCCATCGTGGGACACAACAACATCAGCTTGAACCTCGCTGCTCGTAGCTCGCGCCGCCGAAATCACTAGAATGTCGGCCCCAATCCTCGGCAACGCTCACGGCGACACCCCGGGACACAGCAACACCCACACGCCGTTCTAGCACGGCTGAGCAATGGTTTACAGCATGGCCCCGCCACCGTAGCTCGTTGGCATCACTGGTCGCAGTAAAAACGTTGACATGCCCCCACCCTTCGTAGCTCCCGGTGTTGCTGGTTCCAGCATTTCCGCTCGCCGGTTGCAGCATCTCACGCATCGGCCGCTGGCGCACCTACGTCGCAGGAACCCAAATGATGATGTTGTAGCATTCTCACTCTCCGGTTCTAGCATTCAGAACAACGGTTGTAGCAAAATCGTTGCTGGGGATGCATGGGGTGTCATTCAGGTGCGCAACAAACTTTGTTGCCGGCTCTAGCAAAATTTGCCACCGGTGCCAGCATGACGCATTGCCGATTCCAGCACGGGCCTCCGTGGACTTGCAGCAAAAATAGCGTCTCGTCTCGTCACCGGTTCCACCATGGCGGCCTAAGCTTATAGCATGGCCAAGGCGTCGCCATGCGCGAGGAGGACGACGGGGTGGAAGGCGCACCTGGTGATTGCATCGCCGTGCCGAGGATGACGACCGGGATGGATGGCGCATGGCCATGGCGTCGCCTTGGCGCGCGGCTATCGGCTAGCCGGTGTCGAAAGCTCGGATTCTCAGTAACCTCCATGGTCGTCGGGTTAGCAGCTCGAAGTCCACACGGTCCAACTGAAAAAGGAAGAAGATGACGACAACGGGATAAGACTGTTTTGTGCGGGCCCATAGGGGGCGTCCTCGGCCAATAAAAGAAGCAGCATGTGACGCGGCCGATCGAGTTCAGTCGGTCGACCGGTTATAAACATTTCCTGACTTCATGCCTATCCAGCTGCTCCTCAATTTAACAAGCTACAAATCAATTCCGATTTCTTGCCTCTCCTATACTACCTACATCTTGGTTTATTGGCCCCCTTTTACTAAAGATTTACTACCTCCACCCTGATTTAGTCCTTATTGTCCTCTTTAGCATAAGATTTGCTCTTGAATTAACACAAGCTACCAATCAATTCCGAGAAAGGGAGCACCAAATCGAGGAGAGTAAAGGCAAAGCAAACAACGAGGCGATTCGAAGTACACCCGACGTGCCGCGTGTGATCCAAAAAGATGCCCCGAACTTTGTCTCGCCATTTTCAAATTAAAGTACCCTACCATATCCGCAGCGAGCGAGTCCGGTGAGAGAGGCGGCGAGACGCTCCAACCCCCAACGGTCGGCAGGGAGACGAGACGAGACGCTCCTCCAACCCGTCCAACGGTCGGCTGCCCCGAATTCAAAATCCGAACTTTTCGCCTTTAAATCCAGCCCCGACGCCCCATTCCACCGGTTTCCCAATCGCACCTCCGCGCAGTCGCTCCAGCAAAGATTTCAGAGACCGGGGCGGACGAGGAGAGGTAGGTAGGTAAAAGGTAGGAGACGGACCCGGCCGCCGGCGAGCATGGACTTCCACGCGCTCCCCCGCCGCGACCTCCAGGCCCTGGCCAAGCGCAACGGCGTCCGCGCCAACCTGAGCAACGCCGCCATCGCCGACGCCCTCGCCGCGCTCCCCGCGGTAAGTTCTTGGTCTTCGAACCACCGTCTCGCGTCAGATCTAGGTCGGCGTCGGCTGGATTTGACTGAATCGCGCGTTTTGTACTTGCAGGTCGACGGGATCGAGGAGTACGTCGAGCAGGCGGTCGTTGTCGAAGTGGCCAAGCCGGCGGTTCAGGCGGTTGTGGAGGAGGTGAAGAAGAAGAAGACGAAGAAGCAGGAGGCGGAGGAGAGGAAGAAGCAGGAGGCGGAGGAGAAGAAGAAGCAGCAGGAGGCGGAGGAGGCGAAGAGGAAGCAGGAGGAGGAAGAAGAGAAAAGGAGGCAGGAGGAGGAAGAAGAGAAAAGGAGGCAGGAGGAGGAAGAAGAGAAAAGGAAGCAGGAAGAGGAGGAGAAAGAGAAGAAGAGGAAGGAGGAGGAGGAAGAGAACGAGAAGAAGAGGAAGGAGGAGGCGGAGGAGAAAGAGAAGAAGAGGAAGAAGCAGGAGGAGGAGATCTCGCTGGAGGTCATCTTACTGGTGGACAGCGAGGAAGAGGAGGAAGAGAAAGCCCCAGCCGCCGGGCGCGGTCGCGGTCGCGGAAGAGGACGCGGACGCGGACGCGGTGCCGGCGGGCGCGCACGGGTCGAGCCTGTGGCTGCTCCAGCCACGAGGAAAAGGGCTGCGGCAAGCAAGACTGAAACGGAGGATGCACCTGCGGAGCCCGTGGCGGCTCCGGCCACAAGGAAAAGGGCTGCGGCAAGCAAGACCGAGACAGATGATACCGCTGCGGAGGCCGTGCCGGCCCGTGCCACTCGCGCTCGGAGCCAGACGACGGCGGCGCCCGTCGCCGAGGAAGAGGCGCCCAAGACAAGACGGGCGTCGAGGCGGACCGCGGCGACCAAGACTGGTACGCAGCAGGAAGAAGAAGGAAAGGGGACGCAAGGTAATTTTCTTCAAATCTTTCCAAATCAATTCTCTGGTACTGTTTAATTCTTGCCTAATACTTTCCAAATCAATTTTCGAATCACTAATTCTTGCCTAATTCGATGATTGATTGCATTCAGCTGTCGCCTCTGAAATGGAAACTGCGGAAATGGAAGAAGATGCCACGAATCCTCAGAACGAGGAGCAAAACGAGGTTGAGGAACAGAGCCAGAACGGCCAAGGTGAGACGGCCGGATCCCTCCACTTCAGTAGCAACTTGAAATTGATGCGTGCCCCACGTTTTGTCCCGAACTATGTGCCTGATTCCTCAGATCTGTAATCGCAGGGGTTGTAGTCGAGGATGCACCAGCACAGGTGCAAGAAGAACCACCAGTGGAGAAGGAGGACGACGGTAGGCAAGAATCTCCTGCCATTGGCGCGGGGAGGCGAGGTGGCAGACGACGCGCACGGCCCGAGCCTGTGGCGTCTCCGGCTACCAGGAAAAAGGCTGCAACAAGGAAGACCGTGACATGGGATGATGCTCCGGCTGCAGAGGCCGTGCCGGCTCGGGCCACCCGTCGCGCTCGGAGCCAGACGACAGTGACTGAGGAGGCGCCCAAGGGAAGACGGGCGTCGAGGAGGACTGCTGCGCAGCAGGAAGAGGAAGGGGAAGACCAGCAAGGTAAGAACAGTTTAATTGCTTCAATCAAATCAATTTTCTTGTGAATTTTGTTGGATTCATCGCCTGATGCGAATTTTGTTTGCTACCAGCCGTTGCCTCTGATGCGGAAGCTGCTGCGCCTGCGCCGGTTTCCTCGGACGAAGCAGCTGGTGATGCTGCAGAAATGGAGGAAGAAGCCACGAATCCGCAGGAACAGGTTGAGGAAGAACCACCGGTGGAGAAGGAGGAGAAATCGCCTGCCGTTCGCGTGGGACGGCGCGGTGCCCGCGGGCGCCCACGGGCCGAGCCTGTGGCGGCTCCGGCTACGAGGAAAAGGGCCGCAACAAGCAAGACCGAGACAGAGGAGGCGCCCGTGGAGGCCGCGCCGGCTCGGACCACTCGTCGTGCTCGGGGCCAGACCACGGTCGTTCCGGTGGCCGAGGAAGTCGCGCCCAAGACAAGACGGACGTCGAGGAAGACTGGTACACAGCAGGAAGAGGAAGGGGAAGGCCAGCAAGGTAAGGACAGTTTGCATCCTTCAAATCAAATTAGCATGCTCTGTCAGATTTATCGCCTGATGCAAATTATGTTTGCAGCAGCCGTTGTCGAAACTGTTGCGCCTGCGCCGGTTTCCTCTGACGAGGGAGCTGACGATGCTGCAGCAATGGAAGCAGCCATGGATCCTCGGACTGAGGAGCAAAACGAGCTAGTTGAGGAGCAAAACAAGGAACTTGAGACAGGTGATGCCCCTGACATGGAACTTAAAATCGTTCTATAGCTGCAATGTCCTATCTGAAACTAATGATAATTTTGTTTGCAATCAGGTGATGATATGGAAACTGCTGTACCTACTGAAGAAACAGAAAGGGAGGCCATGGATCTTCAGAACGAAGAGCAAAACAATCTGGTTGAGGACCAGTGTCAGGAAGATGCAGGTGGTATGCCTGATATGGAAACAGCACCAGTTTCCTCTGACGAGGAAGATGATGATACTGAAGAGATAGAAGAAGAGGCCGTGGATCCTCAGAACGGTGAGCAAAAGGTGCTGCTGGTTGAGGAACAGGGCCAGGAAGAGGAGCACGAGACAGGTAATGTCCATCGTATGCAAATCGAAACTTGAAATTGATAAGAATTTTGTTTTCTGTAGCTGCAATGTCACCCAACTATGTGTCTGACTCCGACTGTGTATCTGAAATTGATAAGAATTTTGTTTGCAAGCAGGTGATGTCCCTGATATGGAAAGTGCACCGGTTTCCTCAGACGAGGGACATGATACTACTGCAGTAATGGAAGAAGAGGCCATGCATCTTGAGAACGAAGAGCAAAAGGAGCTGCTGGTTGAGGAGCCGAGCCAGGAAGATGCAGGTGATGTGCCTTCTATGGAAACTGCACAGGTTTCCTCTGACGACGAAAATGATGATACTGAAGAAATAGAAGAGGAGCAGGGTCAGGAAGACGAAGGTGGGACAAAGACTTCAGCAACAACTTTAAATTGATACGCCTCACATGTTTTGTTGTAGCTGCAGTCTCCTGAAATCTGAAATTGACAAGAATTTTGTGTGCAATCAGGTCGTGTGGAAACTGCTGTGCCGGTTTCTTCAGACGAGGCAAGTGGTGGTACTGAAGAAATGGAAGAAGAGGACCAGCAAGGTAAGGACAGTTTGCATCAAATCGGCTTGCTGGCGCTATTTTGTTCACGGCCTGAGGCAAATTCTCTTGTTGCAATCAGCTGTTGTTTCTGATGCGGAAACTGTTGCGCTTTCCTCGGACGAAGGAGCTGGTGATGCTGCAGAGCTGGAAGCAACCATGGATGCTCAGAACGAGGAGCAGAACGAGCTAGTTGTGGAGCAGGGCCAGGAAGACGAAGGTGATTGTCCTTGACATGGAACTTGAAACTTGAAACTTTAAATTTATGCGTGCCCAGTCGGTTTGTCTCCTATCTGAAACTGACGAGAATTTTCTTTGCAACCAGGTGATGTCCTTGACATGGAAACTGCTGTGCCTGGACCGGCAACCTCAGACGAGGGAAGTGATGATGACGCTGAAGAAATGGAAGCAGCCATGGATCCTCAGGCCGATGAGCAAAATGAGCTAGTTGAGGAACAGGATCAGGAAGAAGAAGGTGAGACAAGTGTTTCCCTCTCTGAAATTGATACTTCTTCCACCTTTTCTGTAGCGCCGAATTATGTGTCTGACTATCTGAAATTGCAGGGTTGGCCTCGGATATGCAAACCAGTCCCGAACTAGTGGAAGAACCAGCACCAGTGGCAGAAGATTGCAGCACGGTTGTTTCATCAGTGGAAGAGCAGCAGGACGATGTCCAGCAGTGTGAGCAGTCTCCAGTCGCCCAGAATGTTGTTGATCAGGAAGGCCATTTCCCGGCTGAAACTGTCTCCAGCGAGGGGCCACTGGACGTGGAGATTCATCATGCCGGTGAGGCCGCTGAGGACGCCGAGGATCATCAGACGGAAATTGTGCCCGTGGAAGCGCCGGAATCCGGTGAGTCCACTGAGGAAGCTGAGGAGCATCAGTCCACTGAAGAGACTGAAATGGTGCCGGTGGAAGCGCCGGAATCCGGTGAGGCCACTGACGAAGCTGAGGAGCATCAGTCCACTGAAGAGACTGAAATGATGGTGCCCATGGAAGCGCCGGAATCCGGTGAGGCCACTGACGAAGCTGAGGAGCATCAGTCCACTGAAGAGACTGAAATGATGGTGACCATGGAAGAGACCGCTGAGGAAGTTGAGGAGATTCAGCAGTCCAGTGAAGAGACTGAAATGGTGCCCGTTGAGGAAGCTGAGGAGGTTCATCATTCCAGGGAAGAGACAGAAATGGTGCCCGTTGAGGAAGCTGAGAAGATTCATCAGTCCAGTGAAGAGACGGAAATGGTGCCCGTGGCCGAGTCGGCGGCTCAGGCCGCTGACAAAGCTGAGCAGATTCATCAGTCGAGTGAAGAGACCGAAATGGTGCCCGTGGACTCACCGGTGCCGCAGGAGGTTGGTTTCACCTGCCATGCAGACACTGCCATTGAGGAGGAGAATGAAGTGCTTCAGAGTGCAGCCAAAGCCAATGAGGAGAAGGAAGACCTGGTTGTCGAAGAGGAGGAGAGTGAAGTGCTGTTTGGTGCTCTTTTCCAGAGCGCAGCCAAGACCAGTGAGAACAAGGATGAGCTGGCTGTTGAAGAGTTGTTGCAGCATGACATGGATGAGGCTGCTGCAGAGGATGACAATGAAGTTTCAGTCCTTGGTGCTCTGTTCCAGAGCGCAGCCAAAGGCAATCAGAACAAGGGAGATGTTGAAGAGCTGCAGCATAACACCATGGATGAGGCTGTTGAAGAGGACAATGATGTGCCAATCCTTGGTGCTCTGTTCCAGAGCGCAGCCAAAACAAATGAGAACAAGGAACATCTGGGTCTTGAGTCTGCTGCAGAGGAGGCGGCGAATGAGGTGCCATTCTTTGGTGCCCTGTTCCAGAGCGCAGCCAAGTCCAGTGAGAACAAGAAACATCTGGCTGTTGAGGAGAATGAGGTGCCATTCTTTGGTGCTCTGTTTCAGAGCGCAGCCAAGTGCAACGAGAACCAGAGCGCAGCCAAAACAAATGAGAACAAGGAACAACAACTGGTTGTTGATGAGGTGCAGTATAACTTGGATGAGTGTGTTGCAGAGGAGGGGAATGAGGAAGATATGGCTGTCTTTGGTGCCCTGTTTCAGAGCGCAGCCAAGTCCAGTGAGAACAAGGAACATTTGGTTCTTGATGAGGTGAAGCATGCCATGGATAATGAGTCTGTTGCAGAGGATGAGAATGAGGTGGCATTCTTTGGTGCTCTGTTTCAGAGCGCGGCCAAGTCCAATGAGAAGAAGAAGAAATATCTGGTTGTTGATGAGTGTGCTCAAGAGGAAGACAGTGAGGTGCCATTCTTTGGTGCTCTGTTTCAGAGTGCAACCAAGGCAACCGAGAACAAGAATCATCTGATTGTTGGTGAGGCGGAGCAGCATAACATGGACGAGGAGTCTGTTCAAGAAGAGGAGCAAGATATGGCTGTTGATGAGTTGCAGCATATCAAGTCTGTTGAGGAGGAGAACGATGAAGATCAGACAACCTTGGCTGCTTGGCTGCTGCTTCACAGAGCAGCCAAGACCGCTGAAGGCAAGGAAGACCTGATTGTTGATGAGGTGCAGCATGACACAGAAGAGCATGTTGAAGAGGAGCCAAAGAAGGAGAGTGTTGAGGAATCGGTCACCGTCAACCTCCTGTCGCAAACCACTGTAAGAGAGGAGAGTGGCATCGCCAGTGAGCTGAGAAATGTGCCCGTCGAGGAGGACGACGGTGGCATGGTGGCCGCCGACGAGATGCCACTCAGCTCAGCCACAATGTTTGAGGGCGCTGTACAAGTGATCACCGTCGAGAACCTGTCGCAAGCCACAGTAACTGACGATGAGGGTGCAGTCAAGGGCGGCCTCGCAGATGTGTCCGTTGAAGAGGTGCTCATCGTCGACAACCTGTCGCAGGCCACGGTGACTGATGATGAATGGGCAGCCAGGGAGTGTGCTTTTTCCACCGGCAACCTCACACCGGTCGTCGACACTGCCAAGGACGTGGTGACCGTCGACTACCTGTCGCAGGCCACAGTGACAGATGACGAATGGGCAGTCAAGGAGAGCGCTTTCGCCGGTGACCGCTCACCGGTGTTCGACGCTGCCGGAGACTGCAGTGGTCACGTCATTTCGCCCCTGTTTGCAGGCCTGTTTGAGGATGCCACCAAGTTCCTATCCATGGATTCCATCACTGTGGAGGCAACGGTCTCTGAAGCTGCTGTTGAGAAGACCATCACTGTGGAGGCAACGGTGTCTGAAGCTGCTGCTGAGAAGAACGTTGCTGAACCTGTGGCAATGGAACAAGAGAAGGAAGTGAAGGAGGAAAGCAACGAATCTGAAGCATTGGGCAGCTTGAGCCTGAGGAAGCTTAGGGTCCAGCTCAAGGAGAAGGCGGCAGCGGCACAAGAGAATGAAGTGAGGGAGGGTGAGAAATCATCTGTGCCACTGGATAAGCTTAGCCTACGGAGGCTCAAACTGAAGCTCAGGGAGACGCTGATTGCTCACAAGGTAACCACCAAATTTATATACTGATATGCAGCTCAAGTATATATGATCTTTGTGTTTTTTTTAGCATAATATGATCTTTGTGTGCTAATTCATCTTAGCTTCCAAAATGCAGAACAGAGAAGCAAACAGAGTGCCCCTTGGAAGGTTGGACCAGACGCTGAATTCAGCTCACAAGGTAACAATCATCACCAAGTTTGCCTCCATATGCTCAAGTGTATGTATGAATTTGTGTGCTGATCTTGGCGTTTGAAATGCAGAACAGAGAGCCGACTAGGGTGCCCCTCCTCGGCAGGTTGGACGAGAACTCGGCGTCTCAGTTGCAGAAGAGGGAGCCCAATAGGGTGCCCCTCGGCAGGCTGGACGACAACTCGGCGTCGAAGATGCAGCACAGAGAGCCGAATTCGGCGTCGAAAATGCAGAACAGGGAGCCGTATTCAGCGTCGAAAATGCAGAAGAGGGAGCCGAATTCAGCGTCGAAAATGCTGAGCAGAGAACCTATCAGGATGCGCCTCGGAAGGCTGGACGAGAACGCGTGTTGATTTGACACCGGGATTATCTACCTTGGGTGCTCTGCTGTTAACCAGGAGAAACAGCTCACTGAACTCCAAAGACTCACAAGGTTGTGAAACCATGGTTTCTCCAACCACTTATCTAACTTGTCTGTGTGCGTCGAGATTTCGACTGTATTTTTTAGTCGACTCTCGGCGTAGTCAGCTCCCTAGTTCTACTTTGGCTGTCATTTATTTATGAGTGGTTTGTTGATGTTCTGAACTTTGTACCAATCAGTTGTGATAATATATGTGTGTGATTTGCACTATCTGCTCACCTTGTGTTCTGAGTGATTTGCACTATCTGCCCAGACCTCGTGTCAGTTACACATCTGATTTTCACAATCTGCTCACGTCTCGTCGCCTGTTGTTGTTTAGCGGTGAGTTATGGGCTTTGTCGTTTCCGGGGAAAAAATGATTAGAACACCACATGCTAGTGCATTGGTAAATAGAAACTTGTTATGGATCAGCAATGCCGTAAGAAAAGTTGTTCTCCAGTACTTTTTAGTGCGCATGTAACTTTTATCTGAAGTCAAAGTATTTTTACTTTGACGAAAGTTATAGAAAAAAGTATCAACATATAAGGCCTAAGGGATATCTTTAGATTCATCATGGAATGTAGTTTCATATTATGTATATTTGATATTATAGATGTTGATATTTTTTTATACAAATTTGGTCAAAGTTGATGAAGTTTGACTTCGACACAAATCTTATATGCAGAGTAAAAAAAATGAAGGGGCTGGATTCAGAAGCTAAACTGAACACCCTTCTAAACTGAAACCCCTTGATAAATTTGTGAGCTACTCCAAAGAACTGGGAAACCACATGACTATTGCTGTTGAGGCGTTCGAGCTCCAATTGTATGTGACTTTCGATAATTTAGCACAAATTTGAAATGGAAAATCTAATCTTCAGTTTGCAGGAACAAGCTTTCTTTTAGCTGCGGGTGTTGTGTTACTGCCATGTCGCTGCCAGTGTTGATTACCATGGCATCTCCTCGTTGCCATGGCATCTCTTCTTTTTTTCTAGAGATGCATGCGGTCATTTTATTGATTATTCTCGAGGACCTTACAAAGTAGAACAATAATATGACTGAATCCACCATGTTGGCAATCTGCTGCTACTCCTAGTCCTATCCATATGATGAAGGGATGCAACCTCGGCCACATACCCAGCCTCTCACCTAAGCCTAACATCTAAAGCCGGAGGCCCCGACCGAGCCATCTATCAGGTTTGGGCACAAAACGGTCTGACGCACTCACATGTGTCATCGCCGCCATCTTCCACTGGTCCATCTTCAGAGTAGATTGAGGTGTCAACCTTGGCAGGTCCTTCGCCATCGACGCCAAACGACGACCTCCACCTACGCAAGCCTTGGCAGGTCCTCCGCCGTCGACGCCACCACAACACCAAACGTCGACCTCCACAAACGCGAGTCCATCTCCAAGCAACGGACATAGATCCATGCTAGGATAGGACCGCACCACCGCCGTCTTCCACCACCCGCAAGCACCACCCAGCCCCAAGGCTCCCAAAGCGGCGCCTTCAATAAGGGAACGGCGCCATGAGCGCCGCCGCCGCCCAACAAAGTTAGGGCTTTCACCCGGGAGAGGAGAAGGGGAAGTGAGGAGATCAGTCCATACCAACGCCTCCAAGGAGGAGAACGGCGCCCTCAGGCGTTGCCGGTCATGGCCTGCCAGGGGTTTCGCCCGAACTAGATCCCCGCCCCCAGCAGCGCCTCTTGTACAGAACCGGCGACCAAGAAAGGCACGGCCCGACCAGGTTGGCCTGCACGCCAAACAGGGAGAAGGGGAGGCGCCAGACCGCGCGCACCGACTGCCGCAAGCTACCAACGACCACCGGGATCCCACAGCCCGCGCGGCCAGGACGCCGGATCCACCGCCCGCGCGGCTGCTCGCCAGAGCTCGCCGTGCCTCGCCAAAGGAGCCGCCGCTCCAGATCCGGGACTCCCCACGCAGGTAGGGCAGCCGAGGCCCCGCCGCCACCATCCTTGGCGCCCGGGGCTTGCCCGGCGGTTGCCTCAGGCGGCGGCGAGGAGGTGGGCGAGGTGGGGAGGGGACCGCGTCAGTGCGGCTAGGGTTCCACCGCCGCCGCCAGGGGAGGCGACGCGGGGGTCGCGAGAGGGGTTAGGGACATGCTACAAGTTCGAACCCATGATTCTTGCTCTTCTTCTACTACCTTGAGAACGGATACAAAGGAAGGATTCAGAATTCTTGTTCTTTTTAGGCAAAAGGATTCAGAATCCTCTACGTGCAGATGGCACGCAAAAGTCCCAAAACTAAACTGGAGACCCCTCTGAATTGAATCTCAACACCGGATTCCACATGACTGTCAAGCATCGACGTCGAGGCGCCCCCCACACTGCTGAATCATGAAGGTCATCTTTATTCAGAAATGCTGACCGGCAGACGGGCCTGGGCCACGGAACAATTCAGAGCATGAGAGACACGTTGATCAAACATCGCCCAGATAAAAATTCAGACACGTTGATCAAACATCGCCCAGACACGTTGAACAACACTGAATGCCTGACACAGCATGAATCCACATGAACGCCGTCCAGAAAGAACCGTAGCCAACGCCGGTGGGAATCCGGTAGTTCATGGACGCCATATGGTCCATATTTGTTCAGAAATGCTGCCACACAGCAGTTCCTGGCATGAGCCACGTTGATCAAAGACCGGCCAGATGCCCGCCAGACGGAGTAAATATTCAAGTCCCTGTCGATACAAAATGCCTGACGGAGGCTGCTTGCAAGTTGCAGACCAAAACCAACCCCCAAAAGATGGGAATACATCACGGCCACTCACAGCATTGCTATCATAATTCATCACATCTTTTACCTTTTTTTCTCGTTCTTGTTCTGAACTTGTATCAGCTGATATGCGCGAAATGTTCTCGTGCGAATGCACGATTGCCTGCTGCGTTAGCTGTGATTTATGGATGTCCCAACCCGACCCGAAATTCTGTGTACCCGAATTATCGGGTAGCAAATCGCCAAATTTGGGGTGTCAAATTTTAAAACCAAAATATTTTTTATCCGAATTACCCGACCTGAATTTTTGCTGAAATCTGAGATGGGCTCTAGGCCCATATTGCAATTTCTGAAAAATCTCTAAGGGCCCATGTGGGTTATATGGCACTAGGTGTGTGGGAAGTTTAGTCCCACCTTGGAAGTGGAAGGAGAGTTGGAGTGGTTTATAAGGGACTCTCTCCCTCATGCTATTGGAGCTTGAGAAGAGATGAGGCCCTCGCGCACTCCTCCTCCTCCGCTCGCCGCGCCGCGGGTTGCGGGATTGAGCCGAGCCGAGCTCACTCCTATGCGCTTCTTTTTGCCGGTCAGGAACGGAGAGTCTTTGACAGGTGGGGCCACGATCTGAGACGTCGGATCGTGGGCTACCGACTTGGACGTGGGTTCAGCCCACGTCTCTCCACGCGCGGCCGCACATATATATGTGGGGCGCTGCCAACCCTAGCCGTCACAAAACAGAACGCATCTCCGCCTCCACGCCCACGTCGTTCCTCTGCTGCTGCTGCCGCCGGCGACTCCGTCCCGTTCACCGCGTACACGGTTGACGGGAGAGCAGGCCTCCGAAACCACGCCTCTCCGGATCCTGTACGGGGAGAGGGGCGATTAGGTTTTTGGGTAGCGACTACGCGACTGCTCGCTTCTGTTCATCTACGTCCGCATCACCTTCATCATCACCATGTCGACCGACACCGACCGTGCCGCCGCTGAGAAAGCCGAGGCCGACAAGAAGGCCGCCGAGGATGCCGCGGCTGCTGTCACCGCCACCGCCACCGCGTGGCCGATTGGAGGGTATACATCACTTATCCCTCTCATGTTTCTTTCTGTTGTAGCAGTACTAGCGGTATGCGTAGATGTCTCTACTATATGCGTAGTACATGCTCTGTTAGATCATAATCAGTATGTTATCAATGCTGTCCATGTCATGCTCATGATTTATTCATGGATTAATTTAATCGAAAAACTGCCTATTTACTCAACAATCCAAAAACCTAATCTCTGTAGGAGTTTTTCGAATTCTGGTTTTGCTGCTGCACTGAAACCGTCCCCGTTTATGGGGACGTACTTTAAGCGTTGGCAGACTAAAACCACCTTATGGCTCACGGCCATGAACGTGTTCTGGGTCGCCGGTGTGACTCCTACAGGAACGATCGCTCCTGAACAGGAGAAGGCGTTTAAGGAGGCCACCGTGGTGTTCCTCGGGGCAGTTCTGAGCGTGATTGGAGATAAGCTGGTTGATGCATATTTACATATGCGGTCTGCCAAGGACTTGTGGGAGGCGCTCGAATCTAAGTTCGGGGCTGCCGATGCAGGGAGCGAGATGTATATTATAGAGCAGTTCCACGATTACAAGATGGTTGAAAACCGTCCTGTATTGGAGCAGGCTCATGAGATAATATGCATTGTTAAGGAGCTTGAGCTTCTTAAGTGCGAGTTACCGGGCAAATTTGTCGCGGGCTGCATAATCGCTAAGCTCCCCAATTCCTGGAGGAACTTTGCCACCACTCTGAAACATCAGAGGCGTGAATTCTCTGTGGAGGATGTCATTGGCCATCTGAGTGTTGAGCAAAACTCAAGGGCAAAGGACTCGCACGGAAAAGGGGTCGAAGGAACTTCTGTGGCCAATATGGTGCATCAGAAGAACTCCAATTCCCACAAGCCCAGGGGAAAGAACGGTGTCCAACAGACTGCCGACTTTAAGAAGAAGGGTAAGAAGACCTTCAAGAAGAACAAGAAGGATGAGGGCTGCTTTACTTGTGGTTCGGCTGAACATTGGGCCAACAAGTGCCCAAACAAGTTTAAGAAGTCAGGACAGGACTCCAAGTCTGTCAACATGATTGTGAGCAACAATGAGAATGGTGCATCTGGGTACGGTAATTTATTTACTGTTTTTTCAGTGTTTCAGCCTACCGATTGGTGGGTGGATACAGGTGCAGGT